AGATTCTAAGATACGGCCATTTTTACCCTTTTTCTCGTTACAGCCACATCGTATTGCAAAAAAATTAGCACCATTCGATTCAGCGACGTCGAATTACHTTTKTATYAAACTGTCGAGAACTTCTACCTGAAAGTTTTTCCTTCACCTCTTATTGACTGGGCTATTATGTGAAATTTGAAGTAGTCGAACAACACGGTAAATAAATTGAATAAGCTGCGACAAAAGGCTCGGGGAAAATAAATATTTGATTTGGTTAACGGATAGATAGGGAGGCAGATAGGTAAAGGTATGCACGCAGGTAGTATACGTTTTTTATGCCAATCAGATATATACGTGGATATCGATTCTACGTTCGCGATATTTGCCTTCATATTATCGTCCGTTATCTGACAACTCCTCCGAATAATTTCAGTATATCTATTTCCGTCGAGCATCAGTCTCATTGTTCACAATAAACGTCCTATGAATGTTCGTTTTCGATGCGTTGCCGACATTTACGTCTACTTCGATACGCAGTTCACGTTTACTACTAGTATAAACGTTTTCGAGTATTTTTATGCATTCGAATTGAAAACGTCATCGGTGAAGAGCATCGAAATTGTTTTATTCCATAGGTAACGATTAACGGCACATTGCAATCCATATTGAGATATGGACAATATCGTAATATCAAAATATCATTTAATTGAATAAACAAAATATTTGTTTAAATAAGAATAATAACAAATGTTTAATAAAATATCAGAAGAAAATCTGGATAATTAACTTGTTTCGTTCAGATGAAACAAACAAAAGCAAATTAATCGTTAAATATATGAATAACTTTTGTAAATTTTACAGCTGTTCCTGTTCTTGTTCACCATTTTGAAACGTGCGAACTTATGGAGTAATTCTTAATTCCTATTCCTAGCGTGCAACGTGACGAACAAATCGGAGAAAGACAAAGGAGAAAGAAATTCTTTTCAGCAGTATTTCATTTAAAAGAAGAAATTTTTTATCTTCCCAGAAGCGAGCTTAGATCTCGTCAATCATAAATTCATTCTTCGTTCAAGTAGAGGTAATCCTGATTGTGAGTAAAGGGCAACTCCGAGATCTCAATCTATATTTTGCTGCCTACTTTACAATCCCTCGGATTGACTTTTGTCTAGAAATGGGTCGAGCTCTTCTACATTACGAACAAAATTTCGAATTCCATTGGTTAATTACGAAGCCTATTTATCGCAACTTTTCGGATGACATGCGTGTACTATGCAAAAGGTGATTATACATTTTATTTATAGATCTGTTCAAATTTATAATGAACAATTCTCCCATGTTATAAAAATTCAAACTTAAAGGTTTAGAGAACTAATGAAACGAATTAATTATTCGCAGAGATCATAACTTCGACATCAATTTTTCTCCGTCAAAATCTACGAAAAATGCGACAGACAATAAAATATCAAATAACATTTTGTGGATCGGTCAGCCAACAATGATGAGTATTGTAATGTACAGCATCGTTATACCGATAATTTCTGCTCTTGGAATAATTGGTAACTCTCTCATTCTCTTGGTTATCATGAAACGATGTTTGAAGACGTCCACATATACATATCTAGCAGGTCAGAAAATGATTTCTTTTCCCTAGCTATGATGTATGAGCGTCTTGACAAACGATTTATACTAGATTGATATCGAACATTAGAAGGAACACGATTCATTTGTTCAACGAATTTATTATTATCGTATGAAAGATATATCTATGCATCAATGTATTATACTTCACTTTGCTAATATGAAAAAATAATGAATTGATAAATAAAATGTCTCTATGCTTTAAACAACTTACGCGAAATCAAAAGAAAATATGATAAAATTATAATAATAATAATAATAAAAGATGTAATGACGATATCAATCTGGAAATTCGTGAGGATTCGCATGAAGTTATTTTCGAACGTTTCGAGCTATCTATCGATTATGGGAAACGAACGAAATTAGCAGTCTTGGCCAGTGCTGATCTTGTAACGTGCACTCTCCTTCTATTCTCTGGCTTGGCGAGAGGAATTTTCTGGTGCAAAACTGGTTGGCTCGAGTTCGATGCCTTCGTGCATCTTCCCCTTGGCTCGATTTCATCCAATATTACAGTGGGGGCTACCGTCTGCGTCACCATCGATAGACTTGCAATGGTCTGTAGGTAAGTAGTACATGAAAGAAAGATCAAGAGAAAATCTAATATTTGCTTAAAACACATCGAATTAATCTCTTCAATTAATATCCATTTTATATTTTCTGCGTCATATTGATTTACATGTCTTATACATTGTAAGTTATACAGAGAAATTTTATTTCCGCGAACTTGTTAAATGGAATATTATTAATTACTCATTAGTAACTAATTATCTATTCATAAATGAAACATATTATTGGATCGAGTTATAAATAATTTCTATTTTTGGGAATACATTTGTTGTAACAATTGAATGTATAATCGATTACAATATAATTCTTATTGAATATAACAATACGATATATATACGAGTATGTATATAGGAGGATAGAATCGTTGATATACAGACATTTACGAAAGAATGCATTGATATAAAACTTTGTAGGGGAAAAAAACTATATGTAACTCGAACGCTTGAACCCTTGTCGCTCTTGAATATTTGGTTTGTCAACTATGCCTTGTATAATCAATCAACGGAACTCACACTAGCGATGAAGTATTCCATCACTATTGAACGCTTCGCCCAATAGTATTCAACACTCGAAGGGTTAAAGGGAAGAAAGTTTAACGAGGAAAGTTCTTTTGTTTTACCGTTAGCCAACCAAGTTGCAAGAATCCGAAGTTTTGTAGTCAGTACATCGCCCGAAGGATGATGATCGCTTCAACCTTCTTCGCTATTGTCATTAACGTTCCCTACTGTTTCATGTACAAGTACAACGAACGTGGGGACTTAATGACTACGGGATTTTTTCATTCCGCGTAAGTTTGATGTCATCTATACATATATTAGGTTGTTAGTAGGTAGAAGTGAAACCTTTAGAAAACTAAACTTTCGTTTGGATTTGATCAATCAAGAATTTTCAAATACTGAAATTTGAAATTGAAGTCTAAAGAAGTTTTCACTTTAAAAACATGTAAAAAACGTCGTTACAGATTGTATAAACTTCAGAATTGGGTTCAGCTGATGATCTTTGGCCTTCTACCAGCCATATTCTTGTTTATCGCCAACAGCATTATGTGTATCAATATGATAAGAATCCTCAACCAAAGAAAAGAATTGTTGAAACGATGTAAAGCCAAAGAATGCAACCAATTGAGGGTACGTCGACCTAACATTTTTTAGTATATAAAAAAACAACAAATTTAAAAATTCGACAATTTATAAGTAGATTTTACGATGACGCTTTCAAACTTTATTTGATATGGTATTTCATAATATGTATTTTATTTCAAATAACAAGCACGCACAATGTTTGAGCGCTGTGCTTAAAGGACCAAAGGAATACATGTGTGTGTGTGTGTGTAAGAAAGAAAATAAAGGCAAAAGCTTTTGCTAGTGGTGATTTTATCAAGTTTTATCGTGATGCTTTCTCGTTTCTTAGGATCAAACAAGATTGACCGTGATGCTAGTAGGCGTCGCATTTGTTTTCGTTATCGGCGAGGTTCCAACTCATTTGGCGTCACGACGTAGCGCAGTTTCTCTTTTATACGATGGCGACCTAACCATCGTCCACGAGATTTTTCTCGAAAGGTGACGAAACAATCTCCGAATCTTATCGATTCCTATTCCATAAGATAGACATCAAAGTTTCCAAAATAAAGATCGCAAATTTATTTCAAAATAAATCCGTACAATGTTTCAATCAATTTTTGTTATTTTATGGGTTCGTAAATTCCTGCATTACTTGGTCCAATTAATAAATGGCTTAGAAAAACTAGACAATTACCAAAGATCAAGCAAATAACAATTTTATTTTTTGAAATAACCCAATTAGAAGAAATTTTTCTAATGAATTATTGAAAATTGTATTCGTTATTCAATGATTTAATAACCTTAATAACATCGTATTTTTTCTTTACAGATTTCGTATATACGCGACCCTCCTTAACGCGATCTCCAGCTCATTCAATTTCGTGCTCTACTCCCTATTGAGTCCACACTTCCTCTCTCATTTGAAACAGACCCTCTGTAGAAAATCCGTGTCACAAAAAAGTAACCAAATTAATATAAAAACTATCGTTTCACAAAATCGAATAACGAATGGATCGAGCTGCGATTTGTTCTAATTTTTTATTCAATTATACGAATATAATATATGCATACATACACGTACGTATGAATTAACAGTAACATATATACACAAATATGGCAATGAAATTTCATTATTGATGAAAATAAAACTTGTAACTATTTTATCATCATAATCGTTTAATTACTATGTCATAATTTTACATCTTTTACTACTTGCATTTTACTGGTAACTCTTATCAACCATTATTTATATAAGATTGCAAAAAGTTAGCGTTGTTTCTTACAATTGGAAATTCTCTTTACTTAATCGTAATATCGTTGAAACTTCACTTTCTTTGTATTATTCTTGTTTTTATTAATAGAACTTCCGTTGTTAACATCTTTCTCTTTTTGACGAATAAGCATTCGATTTGCTAGCACATAAACCGGTCCCTCGTCATCGTTCATTTCGCGTTCAGTATTTAATTTCTTCCATTTAGGATCCTTCAGCGGAGCCGACAGAAAGAGTTCCGAGGCAGCTGGCAAGTTCCTCTTCGATGATGTTGATCCTTTATGATGATAACAAAACTCGCGAATAATGTAGTAAAGTAATTCGACCAAACTTATGACTGAACCGCCGAGACAAAGTCCAAAAATACCGCCAAAGGATGCTGAAAGAAAATGATATTTCAAAAATCAAATGATTTCGTTAAAACCTTGTGAACATATTCATTTCTATAATATGCCTCGTAATTCCTATTATTTGTTAATAAAAAAAAGATACAAAATTTAGTCAAATGAATGTATAAAAGGTAGACAATGAAAATTTGATTTTTATTACTCACCGAGGAGTGTGTCCCAGCTCAAAATATTTACCGTACGATATTCCATGTATGAAATCTTACGAAAGAAAACGTAAACGAAGGAAGCATTCTTGTTGTTTACGTTATGACTGCAAGCAAACGCGACGTATAAAAAAGAAGTGAGTTAGAAATGGTTGGATTTGTGGAAACGGTAGTAGTCAGTAAAAAAGCAATTTGATGTCTATCTTACGTTATTTCAGAATTGTATCCGACATCTTCAACGGGTATACTCTCCGATGCGACATCGTAAAACGTATCAGAACATTGTGGCAAGCAATTGCATTCGCTTTTGAACGATGTTTCATACGTCGAAAGAGTTCCTATAATCGTAAGGAAATATCGTTTATAGCTGTTCAACAATTGTTGCTTTACATTCAACCAAGTTTAGTTCCAATAAATTTCAATTCGATCGTTCGTCGAACGTTCGTTTTCATCAAATAAAGACATCTTATTTCTATTGTAAGTATTTATTTTTTTTTGTTCTTACTTCGATGATTCAAAATACAATCTATGTCCGTAAGAAAGCAAGTCCTACTATTTTCGTCTGAAATAGAAAAGAAGAAAAATGAAAAGAAGAGAGAACAAAAAAACAATATATTTGATTAAGGCTGTTCTCTACTCCTATACGAAAGTGTAAAATTAAAGCTTACGGAAACAACCATTGTTAACATGATTTTCTTCATAAAAATCAGGTGCAATGAACAGCCTTAAGCCTATAATCGATCGTTATACCTACTCGGATAATAAAATGGCAAGCAACCGCAATATTTATGCACGCGCATATAGATACAATTCGAAACGCAAGATTGAAAGCTATAATTTTTCAAACCCTTTACCTGGAACACGTCAATTTATGATATGGTATATAAGTATATACTCGTATGTTATATTTTATGCTTGATAAACGCATAATTACATCGATTGTCTTAGCATTACAAATACTAGAAAAGTAAATCATAAATATGATATAAGAGCCAATAAAGTATTACAGACCTCGTCTTGGAAAAGACACATGCGTCTTCTTAACGGAAGCTGACGTAAATTATCCGAGCTTTCAGTCGTCATACCGGAAATACCAACCCCTATGGTATGTCCTGGCAATACAGTGATCGAATGAATCCCAATATCCGGATAATCGTGTGGATCGTGGATTAGCACGGTGGCACCCACGAAAGGGCTATTAGAACTCTTGTAATGTTCAGCTTCGATGTTCAAGGCTACTGCTAAACCTACATCGCGCCCTGATCCAGGAGCTTTCTAAATTTACGATATTAATTGATTAATGCTTCTCATCTTATACAACTGTTGTAACGTGTTCGCTTGCATTTTATCTATAAGAAAATTCAAGCAGCATGATTTTCTAATACCTGAATCTCTCCAATTCCTGGTAACTCCTCTAATGGTATGTTAGAACGATCACTATCTTCCGACGTATTTTTTAAATCGTAATTATCGTATCTATCCACAAATGTTAGAAGCAATAATCATTAGTGATACTTTTGAATAAATTATTATATTAAAAAAATAACTTTATTAATACCCATATAGTCGGTCCAAATAAAAATGATAATTAAAGGCACAACAATAGCCTTCTCTGGATTTAACAGCCTTGAAAATATCGCTGCAATTAAATTTTTGTCCAAGCCAAGCGCACCTCAATAGCATTGATTTACAGGGTTGCATCAACTGCGACGACCACGTTGAAATTATTATCTTGCCGATCCTCTTTATATTATATTTATATAATATTTATGTTACTTAATTAATTATTACCTCGTACATGAGCCTGTCAACTGTAAATCCTAGAACTTCAAGTGCTCGTGTCGCTATTAAATTGTCGACGTCAATTTTATCGGGACGCGTCAGTTTCATTAACGAAATGAAAAACTTTTCACTTTGACTATGGTTTATACCGTGTTTAGATCTTTCGATTTAATAAAAATACGAGAATACGTTATTTTCAACAATCGTAAAATAAAATAAATAACGATGAATTTTCATCGGAAAAATAATTCGTTTTTAGTTTTTGCGCTGGAATTAAAAACCCGTTTTTTTTGTTCTTTTAAATGGAATATTTTCAATCGATTAGCTTTATGTTCAAATTTACAAACTCCGATGAAAATTCAACACCGAGTAATAAACATTTCACTCGAATAGGTCTTACAATATATTTCCAAAGATTTTTGCATGAGGACTATAAACTTTGTTGTTGTTACAAATAGTAACACCTGGAAAATATATACTCCATATAGGTTTGTTTGTACTTATGACAGTGGCTGTTGGATTAGCATCATAATTATGCCAAAGTCTCAGCATCAGAATGATACAAAAAATAATGCTCATTATGCAAATCTGTAGAGAATGAAATATATCCTATACGTATGTACGATAACTTTGAAATTTATAGAATTTCTTACCAAGAACCAAAGCACGCATTCAATTATTGTTGATTGATGAACCGTCACGTAACGGAATCCATGTAGCGTCGTATTCTCGCAATAGATCTTGAATTTTTCTTTTAAACATTGAGAAATCGCTTTTCTCCTTTCTGTAATATTGTGATTTTCTAAAATATCCACATAATTATGATAGAAAAATTTGATTTGATTTTATTTTACTCACTACGAGATATATCACGAAAATTATGAACTCTCATTTTTATTCATATCATATTTATAAATTCACGTTAATGTTACGAAGAAACGAATTTCGAGAAAATTAAAGAAGACTTGAAGCTGAAAACAACAACTGACTATGAATTTTTTTGCATTGCATTGGCATTTCTTTCAAATACAATATTGAATCGATATTTCCTTGTCAATTTCATTTTCTTTTCAATCTTCTTAAGTGCATACGACGAAATTGCACGACTGAATTGTAAGTCTCTGTTTCTAATAATCTCACTAACTTTCAGTAATATCCGTCTATATGTAGTAAACAGTGGAGTTACGCGTTACGAGCTATTGTAGAGTATATCATAGATGAGATTAGAAATTGCTGACCTGTATCATGCTACTTTGAGAACATTACATAGAAGAGAAATTTAAAGTTAGATATTTTGTGAAATGAAATTGTCTTTTCTAACATGTAATCATTTTCTTGGTATAATTTTTTTTCAAAGAATTATGAATAAATATAATAGAAACATAATTATATTTACTATCTTTTTATACATAGCCTTGTGTTTTCGGCATAGAGAAAGATCAGTAAATTTCTATTATGCATAAGTGTGTGTTTACAAGTATTAATACATATAAATGAAACTTTTCTTTATATTAACTTTTCTTCGATTTATATTTTTCATATATACCTTTAATTCCCGCTAGTTTTTACTACGCATGAGCAAGCATTAAAACGAAGCTAGTAACAGAAAACAGAAATACCTAGATTTATCGAAAGTAATTTTTGATTTAGATCAAAGAAAGTTGGTCACTTGTATTATTAGTTGACTTTCTTCAGAGAAGAGGAGTAACATCGTAAAAATGGCGACCCGTTTGTTAAAAATTGGTTCTGTCCTGCGGAACTATTCTAATAAAACTAATATTGTCAGGGTAAGAGACGTAACATTTACATTATCTATATAATATTAATTTGTATAAAGTATTATAAATTATTGCGATACTATTAATTATAAATAAATTGTTAATAATGACAAAAAATTGATTTACTGTTATAGTTACCTTACGTAATAATAAGAGTAAAGTATTTCAAATATTATCATGTTATCATGTGCGGGAATTAATATTAATAAATTATGTTATATAACAATCTTTTTCTCATTTATTTCTAGATTCCAAAACAATGGGGATCTACTGCTACTTCTTTGAAAGAAATATTAGTCAATCAACCAGCAACCAATGTTACATTATTAGACAATGGCATGAGAATAGCTAGCGAAGATAGTGGTGCACCAACAGCTACTGTCGGACTGTGGATAGATTCTGGAAGTCGATTTGAAGATGATAAAAATAATGGTGTTGCACACTTTATGGAGCACATGGCTTTTAAGGTATATTATATTTGAGATATAGATTAATTCCTTATAATCAATAAAATAAATACATTTGTTATTTAAAACAGGGTACTACAAAACGCTCCCAAACTGATTTAGAATTAGAAATTGAGAATATGGGTGCTCACCTTAATGCATATACAAGTCGTGAACAGACTGTATTTTATGCTAAATGTCTTTCACAAGATGTTCCAAAAGCAATTGAAATTCTAAGTGATATTATACAAAATTCCAAACTTGGTGAAAGTGAAATTGAAAGAGAACGTGGTGTTATTTTAAGAGAAATGCAAGAGGTTGAAACAAATCTTCAAGAGGTCGTATTTGATCATTTACATGCTACAGCTTATCAAGGCACTTCACTTGGAAGGACGATACTTGGACCTACTGAAAATATTAAAAGTATTACAAGAGATGATCTAATCTCCTATGTAAAATCTCATTATGGTCCAGCAAGGTGATTCTCACAGCTATCTTAATAATTAATATGATTTACAATTCATGATTTTTATAGATTTGTTTTAGCTGGTGCTGGTGGTGTAGAACATCAACAATTGGTAGAATTGGCAAATAAATATTTTAGCAAAATGTCTCAACCACAATATGAAGAAATTCCACCGTACAAACTACCAAACAGATATACTGGATCAGAAATAAGAGTTCGTGATGATAGTATTCCACTTGCACATGTTGCTATAGCAATTCAAGGTATAGAAAAATCCTAATATACATATATATGCATATTGTTAGTGTTTTTAAATATCGTTTATTATATCTTTCTGCAATATTTTTTAGGTGTAGGTTGGGCTGATGCAGATAACATTCCTCTTATGGTTGCAAATACCCTTATGGGGGCATGGGATCGTAGTCAAGGAGGTGGAATAAATAATGCTAGCAATCTAGCCAAAGAAAGTACAGAAGAGGGAATATGCCATAGTTATCAAAGTTTTAATACGTGTTATAAGGTAATGTTTACTATTGTAATAAAATTAAGCATTTATCTATTTTATCAATTTTTATTAGTGTTTTTTAATTTTATTATGTAAATTTTAGGATACTGGGCTTTGGGGTATTTATTTCGTTTGCGATCCATTGAAGTGCGAAGAATTTTCGTGGAGTGTCCAAAGAGAATGGATGCGTTTATGTACATCCGTTACAGAAAAAGAAGTAGCACGTGCAAAAAATATTCTTAAAACAAATATGCTATTACAACTCGATGGAACCACTGCAATTTGTGAAGATATTGGTCGTCAAATGCTTTGTTATAATCGACGTATTCCACTACATGAACTTGAAATGAGGATAGAGGTATATATATATATATATAATATAAATGCATTGAGAGAGACAGAGAGAGAGAGAGAGAGAAAAATATCAAGAAGACTTATACTACTATATATTTATTTTAGAGTGTCACTGCCAAAACCATTCACGAGGTAGGGATGAAATATATTTATGATACTTGTCCAGTAATTGCTGCAGTTGGTCCAGTAGAAAACTTACCAGATTATTCTACTATTCGTTCTCGCATGTACATGATGCGTGTATAAAGTTATTAATATGTAATGAAAGAGTCGCCGTTCACGATGTATCCTTTAGTTCAAATTTGTTAATAATATATTCGCAACATGTAATAACCTCCTATTTAAAAATTCGAAAATCTTTGGATATTTATTTTAATCGATATCTTTAAATTTTGCTTTTTAATTAAATTCTAAAATATCTTGTAATGTTACTCTCCATCTATCAACGAAATGCAATGAAATAAAATATCTCTATAAAGTATATAAATTACATGGAAGATATTAATTGAATACATGTAATCGCACTAGCAACACAAATTTTTTGGTACCCACTATATAATTGAATACCTGATTATTTATGATATTGAAAAGAAAGCTCAATACCTACTTCTATTTCTTAATTTATGACTATTATTTACCAGAGTTATATTTTTAAAAATGCCTGTGATAAGACATTTTCTTATGTATTTATATAAACAATTTATTAAATACAGTATTTCAAATAAATAGAATTATAAAAAATATAAAGTTATATTGTAGATGAATAATTCGCAAAGTATTTTATATAATCCTTAGAAATTTAATTTGCATTTAGATACAGTATTAAATACAATACACAAATAATATATATAATTAAAATACAAAACGTATAAATATTTACAAAATTATTACATTTAAAATTTAACTTTATATCAAAGATAAATTCAATTACATGACATCACTTTAATTACTACTAAAAATTGTAGCACATTTAATATTATGCCTCATGAATATGAATTTAATTAATATACAATTGAATTTTGTTGAGATTCATAAAGAAAAATGTATGCACATTTTCTATTTATTCATTATCATAATTGGAGATTAAATTTTATTTATACGTAGTATAATATCAATGTAACTATCTCGCATGATTATTTGATGGCACAGTTGCTTGAGTTGGTGAAGCTGTATCTTTACAGACTTTAGCAGTCATTTCAGCTAATGGCTCTAACTCTTTCGTATTTACTAACTCAAATTCTGTTACAAAATAGTAAAAATGTTTGTAGCATGTATTTACATGTGCCTCCTAAAAAATATTATAAAATGAATTTATTCAAGTTAGATAAAAATTCAGTAGAGCGTCAATATCATTATTCAAATATAAAATGAATCAAATAGAGTCATAATAAGAATTCATATAATTTACTTACTGCTCCTATAGCTACTATACGATCAAAATGATGAATGTATACATGGACGAACACTCTGAAGAGACGAGTTAAGATTTTACGACACAGTGGTACAAAAGTTTTTGGAAATGGTACATCTACAATAAAAATGTGAAATGTGGAAATAAAATAAATAACTGTTATGATATTTCCATACATTTACATAACAAAAAAATATATATTATAAATTATATACCTGTTGACACAGGAAATATAGTTTCGTTATTTATCTGCATTTCTATCCAATCCATAAGGAGTGTAACATACTGAGGAGCCGGAAGAACAGTCGGTTTTTTATATTTTTCCCCATCTGCCCATAAATATTCAAAACGTGCTCCGCCACTCATTATTGGACATGATGCAGAGTCACAGTATTCAGATATGGTACCATATATAAGATTTATTCTATTAAAAAAATCTACAACTAATTGTAAAACAATTATTTACACATCCTATACAAGATAGTTATACTCTTTAAAATCATTTTTTAATAGAATAAAAAAATGTTCATATACCATGAACAGCAATCCAATCATTGAGATCTTCTTTCGGTGGTAATTTTACTACAGATCTTAAATTAATGCCTGAATTAAGCGAAGCTTGAGCTTGTTTATGTAAAGAATAACGTAATGTCCCATGGGCAAACCTTTTTTTTGGTCTAAAAGTCTATAACAATGTTACATATATAAAAAGTAGTTATTAAATATAATATATATGATAAATATTAATGCTTTATAAAATATTTCTACACAATTATTTATCTGATTCAATAAGCAAATTAGTTTTAGGTTATACAAAATAATTTTAATACAAACCAAGATATTTATAATTTACCTTTCCCTTTTGGAAGAATTCCATGAAACCACTTAAAGTAGTCATTATACAATCAAAAATCGTAGATGGTTCTTTAATTAGTTCAAAACTATGAGATTAACCGGCTATATAAATTAATGAAATACATGTACATGATGTATACCTAATAAGAGGTTATACATAGGATCTCTCATATTCGATATCCTTGTATTTATTACAACGTACATCTAAATCTCACAACTTCACATGTTCATAGAATAAAGTAGACTTGCATTTATGTACAAACAAATAATAGCAATTAATATCTCATACAACTTTTATTACTTGTTACATGCACAGCTTTGTCAGTCACAGAAAATAATCGATGCACTTAACATTGCATTACTAATCATTGAATACAAGGCAGTATTCAATTTAATAAGCATTTACTTTTAAATCAAATTAAGTAATATAATTAAATAGATCATCCCTTATCATTGATAAATATAGACTTATTAATGGACATGGGTTTTTCATAAATATAATATATAAAATTAATATAAATAATAATTTTGTTGACATTATTAAAACAAACAAGCCATACTACAAAAAATAAATTGTAATAAGGAAGACTATATAACATTCGTATATTTATTTAAATAATTAATTATAAATTTGTAGTTACAAGGCATAATATCGATTTAATCCAACTTTAAAATCACGTGTTCACGCGGCAAATGCAAAAACCAATGACGTAAAACTCGTCATATATTTGTACTAATTTGAAAACTTGCAAGAAAAATGTGGCATACACATTTATCACATTGGACAAGATTTACTACGGACTGCCAATCATCGATCGCTTTAACTGTTGCGTAGAGTATATAATTCAATCAAATCTTCTTTTTAAGATATTTTTTTGGGAAGAAGATTTGATAAGAATTGTCGTCAATGGTCAAACGAATCGCAGGATGGTAGAAGGTGATAAGTGGTAATGGAATGATGGTGGAAGGGGAAACGCTAAGTAAAATTTGCGATTATCGAGAAACTCGATTCGCTAAAAACGAGACTTGCATTTAACGAGTTTTCTATAAATCGATAATAATTACGTTCTTTCAAATAGGAAATGAAAGACGATTTCTTTTTATTTAAAATAAATCTTATTCAGTTATATATTGACCATTTTGTTCCATTATCTTTTGCCATCTTTCTGGTAGGTTCAAGATTCCACGGTTATAAAAGTCCTTCTCCCTATTTGCAAAAAACTGAAGCAAGTGATTTTTGACGCCTTTGTCTGAATCAAAGTTTACACCATTCAAAGAATTTTGTAAAGAACGGAACAAATGGTAGTCCGATGGTGCCAGATCAGGAGAATATGGTGGGTGTGGTAGCAAATCCCATCCAAGCTGTAACAGTTTCTGGAAAATGATCAAACTTGTGTATGGTCTGTCATTGCCATGATGAAATACAACACCTTTACTATTTATCAATTCTGGACGCTCTTGCTTGATGGCAGCATCCAATTTATCCAATTGATGACAGTACATATTCGTATTAAACGTTTGATCACTTGGTAGCAGTTCGAAAAATACGATACCTTTCCAATCCCACCATACAGAGAGCATAACTTTCTTTTGGTGAATATCTGCCTTTGTTATCGATTGAGTAGGTTCATCTTGCTTAGATAATCTTCGTTTATGGTTAATATTATTGTAAAGAATCCATTTTTCATCCCCAGTTATGATTCTCTTCAAAAATGGATCGTTTTCTTCGCGTTTCAATAATGAATTACAGGTGGTAATGCGTTGAATCAAGTCAGTTTCTTTTAAATTATGTGGAACCCAAACATCAAGTTTAGAAACTAATCCAAGACGTTTCAAATGATCATGAACTGTCGAATTTGATAAATTCAATTTCTCAGCTATTTCTCGCGTTTTTATGCGACGGTTTGCATCCACCAGGGCCTTTATTTTATCGTCGTCTGCTTCGACTGGGCGACCTAAACGAGGTGCATCTTTCAAATCAAAATTACCAGAACGAAATTTTGAAAACCAATTTTGACACTGGCGCTCACTCAACACGTTCTCTCCGTAAACTGAACATAGTTTTTTTCTCGCTTTCACTGCTTTTTTATTCTTACGATAATAAAAAAGCAAAATATGACGAAAATGTTCACTTTGATTTTCCATATCTGGTACAATTTCAAAAAAGAAACTACTTGATAGATCGAAACATAATAAGATGTTGAATCACGTCTGAAATGTTTATGTTGCTAGAGTAAGCTTTTTTGTTTGTGTTAATTGATTAATTAATTTATTTTTTTATTTTTTTATTTAGGCTACTATATAAATCTTCCGGTTTATTGGTCTTTAAAATAAGGTTGTGTATCAGTGTGGCGTGCTCTATTAGCCAAATAATAGCATAGGGAAATTATAAGTTTTACGTAGGCGGATAACAAGAATTAATATCACTCGTGTAACAAATAACAACGATATATTTTATCAACGGTGGAATAACAAATCTTTACAACGGGTACATGTGTCTTTTTCTCTCTCCATCCGCTCTCCTTTGTTACTAACACCTCTGCCCGCTCCCTAGTCCCTTTTTCCTCTGCCCGGGATGTCGCGGCTTTCTATTGGCGGGACGGCTGTCCAATCACATCTAATGATTGCACCACCACCAGTCGGAGCGCCAAATCAGTAAATACAACTAACGATATCTCTGTGCGAATAACGAAATTACTTTTCGAACAATCTAATATATAGATAAGAAAGTTAAGCTCTTAGAATGCTGATCGTAGTAATTTATTTCGATAAGATTGTAAACTATCAATTATTTCATGAATTAATAAATTTTAAAACGTGACATTTTATTGGTGTACATCGATTGAAATCATATTTTTTTAACTTTATCGATTGCAATATGTAAACTCTTTCAATTCAGTTTTTTGTATAAACTATACGATAATTAAGGTTTAATAAAATATTCATTTTAACACAATAGTAAGAGCTCTATAAAATTTGAAAATGTAGAAGATGTATTACCCGTATCGACTATATTTCCTCGTTCACTAGACGATACGAGTCTAGAGAATATTTTTGGACAATAATATAGAAATAATATTCCACAAATTTATTTATGTTTCCAAATTCTTTAGAATTCAATATTTCAGATGATATTAAATTTTAATATGTGAAGTTTAACATTCTAAAGCAAAAGTTAAAAAAACATTTATGGTTTTGAATCACTTATGTATTAGCCAAATAAAATACATCGGGCAATATTGTTTCCTGTTCGAGAAAATGTTCTGTGCAGTTCATGAGGAACGATAATCGACAATCGGTAGTAGATTGAATAGACCTTGGTTTCCCTAGTCAATTAGCGTACGCTTGACAGTACAGAATATGGTATTTAGGTTCTAGAAATTTCGTGAAAGTTGCAATTACAAGAAAATTTTCGACGAATTCGAGTTTACTTACTTCAGAATCCAGTATTCTGTTGCATACGCGTGGCCGAGCATTACATATTGCAGTCAATCCAAATATACTTGTTTATTTAATATAATCTAACGATCGTTTAATATTCAAAATGTCTTTGTTTGGATCTTTAATGGGCGATTTCGACGATGATCCTATATTTGGGTTTGTATATTGATACTATTATTTTTACGATTTTTTTGCATGCATCTACGAATTGCAAAAATCGATTGAAATCGTTCCTTTGACTGTATAACTAATGCAAAAAATATTCTCTAGAGGACATTCACACGTTTCTCTTGATCTTTTTTCTTTTTTTTCTTTCTTTTTTTTTTTTCTAAAGTTTATAAGTATATTACGTTATAGTTTGCTGTTGAAAAAAAGAAAATTATTTTGATACTATTGAAAAAAAAAAAAAAAAAAAAAATGTTATCACGTTCTTTTGTTTTTAATGTTACTATCTTTTCAATTGTTTCATATCAACGGAACGTGTTTATATGTCATCAATTTTAGTTAGTTACAATTAATTCAAATAATACAAAATTTTTCAATGGATCTAATATTTTAGAAAATTCTTAGAATGGAAGCATTATTTAATATTATTATTTTTGTCTGAAAATAGATCTCATATGCGTACTATGAGGCAGATGAACAGCATAATGAACTCCCTTTTTACTGATCCATTTGGAATGATGGGTCAGAATGCATTGACTGATTCCCAACAGCGAAGTGGAGTACATCATAATGAAATGCAAATGATGCCATTTGCTTTTCCAACAATGCCATCTATGAACTATAATAGATTATTCACTAATTTTGTAAGATTTTTTAAGTTTCTTAAGTTTTTTTTTGTAAGGTCATTTAATTTCGTATTAACGATAATTTTGTTAATGTTAATAATACAGGATAATTTGGCATCAAATGGAAACTGTCATTCCTTTACAAGCAGTTCTGTAACGACTATGGCTAGTGGTGCAGATGGACGCCCGCAAGTTTATCAAGAAACAATGTCTACAAGAACTGCACCCGGTGGAGTAAAAGAAACCAAAAAAACTGTATGCGATACAAGAACTGGAACAAAGAAAATGGCTATTGGTCATCATATTGGAGATAGAGCCCACATTCGTGAAAGGGAACAGAACATTCATAATGGAGAGCAAGAAGAACATGAAGAGTTCATTAATCTTGATGAAGGTAATCAAAATTATACATACTCTTCATATAAAAATCCAAAACTACTATGTTTAATTATTTAAATGTACATAAAATTTTGTCTCTAGATGAAGCTGAGAGTTTCAACAATGAGTGGGAATCTTGTACAAGACGATCAGCAGGTGCAATTGCTGGACCACATCATAGTTCATATCCTAACTACAATAGACGTCGTCCTGATTACAAGCAGTTGGCTTTGCCTGATGCATCAGGAAGGTTAGTTTCATAATTCTTTATTAGACATTTTTATTATTTTTTTTATTAGTTTTTATTATTTATAAAAACGTTATTGCATTTATTAGCTCTAAATTAAAGCTAATATTATGTAACAATGTATAAAGAACTCTCTGCATTAGAATTTGTGACTTTTTCTTTGCTATATAACAGATCTGGAAATGTATAATGTATTTACCTATATAAAACCGTAATCATATTATAATATAATTACATAAAATAATTAAATCTCTAAATCGAAGTCACATTTCACATGTGTACATTGCTTCATATATCATATACGCTAATCTACTAACAAATATATATTATTTAACAAATTCCAATGCAAAAAGAGTGTATATCTGTTATTGTCATAAGAAATCTTATCCTTTATAAAACATCAGCTTCACATTTCGCTCTTTAATGTTAAATCACATTAAGTTACCTTTAAATTTAATGTAAAATATTAGATTCTCATTCGAATTGTAGTTGTTTTTGTTACAAATTTATTAGTTTTATTTTTTAGTTTACTAAATGTTAGTTTCATTCTTATGCAACAGATATAAGAAGCATGGAAGAAAGTCTGGTAGAAAAATGTGATTACAATACATTGGCTGAATCCAAATCTCTTGGTGCATTCCTTCTTCAACTTTGTGTATGCATTATTGAAATAAATATATGCATGCTCAATTATGTTCACCTTTACTTTTGAAATAAAAATATTACGAGACTTTAATATATGAGTTAGCACCATTAATAAGTCATCTATGTACACATACTTTTATTTATGCTATGTATATATATATATAAAAATGTATGTATGTGCTTTGTAGAATTCGATTTGCGTGCAAACGTACATTATGTTATATTGATATTATTTTTAATGAATGTTGTCTTTATATCAAAATATTTCACTTTAAATATCAGTTAATGTTTAAATACATAAAAAGGTAGATTGGAATCTCAAATATTCTTTACTTAAACATAAATAAATTACTAAATTAATTAATTAACGTTTATGAGAATAAAACATAACAAAGAAGTTTATCATTTTAATTATACAAATTGTGTGCTTATGCGTATAAAAATACATACGAATTTAATATAATGTACTAACCATGGAATAAATTATACTGCGTAAAAAATTAAATAATATTTTAACTCTTAGCAGTGTCAAAGGTTTGGAATATTTCCAGCAAGGCATTCTTTTATCGTTTACTGTTGTCTAGAAAGTGAACTCTCTCAGTTTATTTTATTTTACTGCTCATACATTCTTATACATTATGCATGCAGATTATAAACAATAGATAAATCCTTAGTAGCAGAGCTTTGAAACATTAATTGATGAGCATATGTTACTTACTATGTAGATGAAAATTATTTTGATTAATAGAATGCCTATGCTAGAAAGTATTATGACTGCAAAGAGTTAATGATGTAGGTATATTATTTTTATTACAATTTTATTACTAGTTATCATTTCTTTTTTGACCTCTATGATTTTAAAAAATTTAATTTTTCTTATTAATTTAATATACCATGTATTCTCTGTTCAGCATAAAATAGTTTATTTTGTGTTATGTCAATCTTATGTTATTATGCTTTCATGGTTACTCCTATAATTCTTCAAGATGGATGCCTTCTCCTAGGCGCAATATTAAATCTTTATCTTCTAAAACTTATGATTTGGCTTCTACTTCACGGTAAGATTTTTGTTTTATATTTGCGTCTTTTTACTTTCCCTTTTAAGGATTTGAGTCACTTCTCTACGAACACCTCATGCTTATTCAATACTACCAAAGAGGTCATGTTCTTTCACCGCCTCTCTAGAGTCAACAGCATACAGTTTTTGTTTTTCATAACGGATTTTACCATATATGAACGAGTATACATAATAAAATTTAAATTTATTTACTGTGTTCTAAGTGTTATAATTTAAAGCTATATAGAATACTTACAATGTTTATTATACATTACTTCACTTCCATGTTTCATTTCAATGCATGATAAGATAATGAAATATGTACTTTGTTATTATTTATGAAAATATATCCTTATACTGCGATGGATACTAAGATTGGTATGGAATATACCACCTTATGTATTGCAGGTACAACCACAAATATTAATAAATTAAAAGCATTGTACACAGCGGTGACAGTTTTGTAACGTAAGTACGTTACGTTACATTTTTCGTTACTTATTACTTTTATATCAACAGGTTTACCAAATTATTCTATTTAGCTAATCAAATTAAATTGTGTTAATGTTTCTATTCTGACGACAAAAATATTTTTTATTTGTATTTTGTCTTAACATTATTCATCTATATTTATATAGTTTAAGAAATATTCAAAAACGAAATTATAATATAAGGACTGTTGAGATAAGGCAAAAAAAAAATATTAAATATTATCACTAATTATTTTTCTAACAACTATGTATATCTATATACAATATTTTCATTTTATCATATTTAATATGAGATTTGAATAAATCGGAAATTTTTCAATTTTAATGAACAGTTGGAATGTTTTATGTATATTAATATAAACTAATAATATTAAGCCATACTCCCAAATAGTAACATGCGTTGAAGCTTCATTTATTTTTCTAACGTAATTTGTAAATAATTGAAGCATTAAAACTAGAATAATTGCATGTTCGCAGCTCTGAGGGGCTAGCATCTTCTGAAGCTGCCCATCAAAAAAAGACAACTACAGGATATCGAAAACGTGAACATACTCCAGACACCGAATCTAAGCATAAGCGTCCCGCAGTGTGAAATAGTAATCTATTAGAATGTCTTAGGATATAATATCACAAAATATAATTAGCTTTGCCTGTATATCTTCTCAGTAATCATTAGTATTTATGATAAAAAAAGTTTGCAATTTATTTGCATTACTATTATATAATTACAAAAAATATAAAATATATCCTTATATTTGTATTCGTAAAATACATTAGAAAGGAAACGTTTCAACTGGTATTATTATTACTCTTATTTCTCTTACGTCTACATTACTTATTCATAATAATAAAGAAAGGAAACGTTTCAACTAAGATTGCTATACTTCTAATTTCTCTTATGTATATCAAAATATAAAGTATAGTATGAAAAGTTACGTTACAGATATATTACTCTTATATGTTAGTTATTATATAAATACTCAAATATTGATTAAAATTCAAAACTATGTCAATCATATAAAATTATGAATAATAAATAAATTAATAAACAGCATATATGAGTTTAATAAAAAATCAATTTTATCGTTAAAAAATATACAAAGATAATCTATAAATTTTAAAGGTAAAAAAGATTCACGGTTTTTCTACTATCGTTACTTTCATTTTTACGTTCAAAAACCTACTTATATTTTTGTTATTTTTAATGTTTTCTGATAAGCATAGGAGTATAATTTTCTTAAAAGTATGATTTAATTTTTAAGGAGGGTTTAAAATAAAACTATACGTTGTTCTAAAAGTTTTATTCGCTCAAAAATTTATTTGCACAAAATAAATGTATTAACTAAACCATATTTGTAATATACCATATTATTAATCTAAAAAAATTAAACCAACCCTGAAATTAGTTTGACCTGAGAAAAACCTGTTGTATGTATATATATAGAAATTAGAATAGTATAATTAAATATATTTTAAATGCTCACCATGTGTGAATTTATAAAATATGTGTTGTTACTTTATATATTTCATATCTTTTTCTCGTTATTAATCAATAAGTTTTGTAACAACACCTAAATATTGAATTATTACAAAAATATTTAAAGAAAAATGAAACTTATTAAATGAAATTATGAAAAGTACGACCCCATGTAGTTTAAAGATATACGTATTTAAGGACACCTAATATTCTGAAAATATATGGAAAAAATGATAAACCTTTATAGAATCGTATAGAATTTGTTCATATATCTTACAATTAGTTTAAATTTGACTAATGTAAAACAAAAAAGATATTAAGAATAAAATGAAGAGCGCAAATTTGTTTATAATTCGTTGTCGGAAAAAATAATTTTACATATAACAAAGCATAAATATGATAGTCAATAGAAATAGAATAACATAAGAGGAAAGCTGGCAAAAGATATAATAGAAGATTATGTTGTATTGGCAGCGCACAGGGTGGACTGACTTCTGTTAATTATCTTCCGCAAGGGTATTAATTCTTGTATTAATGGTCAAGACTTGTGCCAAAAATGTTGAATCACTCATGACAGTAGCTAGAGCTGAAAGCATATCCTTCAGAGTATCTTGCATTATACCCAATTGACGAGCAGTTTCTAATATAATTTCAGTTTCCTTCGCATCAGGATTTATCTGAAACAAAACTTTATTCGTCAGAATCGTTTTTAATCAAATTATTTTTATGAAATTTCAACTAGTAAATACCAGTAATAAAATAATATTTATATGTTAAGATAATTTATTAGTATTATCCAATTTAGAAAAAGAAGATGCGCTTTACAAGAAAAGCAATGAGTACAAATACATATGTTTGTTAATTTTCTTTAATACTGAAATTTAGTTAGTTGAAAATATAAAATTTATATATTATGTTGATAATAATTACTTTAGGCGAGCTGCAAAATTTGCTGAATGGCATTTTAATCCTTTTCTTACCACTATTTGTTTGATAGAAAATCGTAAAAGTTTGTGTATTATTCATGTCTAGGGCAATGGGAAAATATATACCAGCTGTGACATGACCTTTAGTATCTCGGGCTAGTAAACTTCTGAAATTGTAAACCAAATTTCTGCGTTCTGTAACATCAATAGCAGTAAGATATGGCCTTGCTATGTAAATAAGAGCAACTTGTGTTCTTTCCAAGGCACCTGGTCGAGTTTCCCTTTCATGCCATTCGACATAATCAGGATCTTCACCACACAGAAAATAGTTATACTCTTTCTTACAATTTGAATCGTCAGATTGAGTAAACCAGCCCGTATGAGGATATAATTTATCAGCCATTACTGTAATCACACGTGCAACATGATAACCAGGATCGAGAAGCATAACACCTTGACGTCCATTAATCTTGATTTTCAGGCACACTAGAACATGTTCTTTCTCTCCACTATCTGCTGCCGGTGGGCCACCAACATAACTAGCAATATCTCCAATCGTCTGTAAAAGAATTATTTAATATTGTATTTTGTGTTGATAAAAACTATAACATTAAGTTAAAATAAATTTACTTCTTCGCAAGACACTAAGTAGAGCCCGCTTGCTATATTAGGAAACTTATTATTTAAACTACTTAGTCGACGTAATAATTCAAATCCAAGTCCAACACACGTATAGTGTTCAGGTGTTATTAGAGGCTGATACTTGCGATAAAATCGATCCAATTTACTTTCTCCGCTCATAACATAATTCTTATAGAATCTATTCAAAGTAATAATATAATATAACATAAGGTATATTACTAATATCATAGAAATATTTTTTCAAATAAGAATGTAGATACAAACCTGAGGAAGTTGCCAATAGTGTCATATCTATGCTCACGCAATAAACGCTGAGTTTCTAATTCAACACTGCCTGCTAGTTCCTCATATTGTTCAACCGTTGATACGATCAGGGCTGGTGACTCATAATGGGCCCACACCGGCAGGGGTAGCGGCACACCCCTAATCCAGGGCCCGCGTGCCTGCCCCTGTGGCTGACACCATTTTTCTGTCGTCTCGAGTCAACTTGGCCATTCACTGCCCCAGCGACCAACTGTTGGCACAAAGCCATGCTCATCCCTGCAGCTGCTTATTGGCTCTACAGGGCTCTCTCCGTGTTTTATACTCTTCTCTCGCTCTGTAATATCAATGAAATATGTTTAATAGAATAAATATTAAAAAAAAAAAAACATTTCTATTAATATTAAATTTAAGTTATCCTTATTCGATTTGAGTAATGCACTTGTTTAAAAACCAATTAGTTTCCATAATTTGTTGGATAAACATTTTATGATATCCTCATTGATATAAATAATTATGGTTCTATGTTTTAAATAGCTATTATAATGCTTTATCTCTCGTATTATCTTTCTCTAATATATATTCTCAATAAATTAGTATGTACCACAATTCCACTGCTATTTAAGAACACGAATTAACACCGTTCCGTAAGCCAAAATGTGGGAAATAAAAGCAGAAAAGCGGATCGCATTTGCAGTTGGTTTGATGTCCAACATGGCGATAGCGGACGCGTGGTTGACAATCAATACAAGACCAAATAGATACGTATCGTGCCACGTGTCTACTGCGACCTTCGATATAATAACGTATACTCTGTAGTAGTACAGTCATATTATTCGAGGAAGACCCTAGAAAGCGTTAATCTGGCGCTCGGGTAACTTGATATAAGATGATTCACTTATTTTAACAAGTTTGCAACTAATTTCGTCAAAATTATGAAAATTAAACCTAAAGAAACATTATATTATGATCAATCAATTTATTGAACAAAATATATAAACGACTATAATTTATTGAAGAAAGTAACCTTGAAATATTTCATTGTGCTGAATAATTTCTGTAATTAAAAAAAAAACAAGAAGTCTTGTGTTTTGTTATTTTCTACTGTTCCGGCTGTGAACATTAATATTTCCGTTTGAAATTCGTTAATAAAGAAGTGATAACAAATGAAAATAAAGAAAAAAGGATAATCGAATAAACTAAGCTAGCCTATATATTTATTCGCAGTACACAAAAGGTCATTGCCAAAATTAGGACAAAAGAGAGATCTTACGAAAGAAGTGTCACAAATGCAGCATATCACTTGATAACCTCTGTGTCACAGTTTTATTACTCCAATATTATGAAGAGTCTCTATATAAAAATATATATACATGAAAGTTGCTTACCCATACAATGAGCGCACCAAACAAATAAAAACTTTCCCTCTTCAGAAGGCACGAACGTACACGTGTTCAAAGTCCAAGCAGAATTGGGTGGCGGAGCGCGAGCGGAAGTTTATATACGTTCGCGCCGTATTCCCCTTTCCTCTTTACATTTCACAAGCTCTTATCGATGGCGCGTTTCTGCCACGTGATCGTTTGCCTCCTATATCCCTCCTTTAAAAACTTCTATACATTATTTCAAGAATGCATGCAACGTATGGAGAATGTATTTAACAATTATTACAATTTTCACGTATATATCTTTATTTCGCAACAATCGTTTAACTTGTGCAATAATGCACAATGAAGTGTATTATTCAATATTATTATTATTGTTTTGTTCTCATAGAGAGATGCAGTTAAATGAACAGATCGTTTGCGTATGCGCGTTACGAAAATTTTCTTTCTTTATTTCTTTGTTTCTTTTTTCTTCTTCGTATCGTATTAAATGTATCTATCATCAATTTGGACAAATCATAGCATTGCAGAAATCTTATACAATGTGTCATACTTCTGGAAACTTCTTTTCATTGAATATATATATATATATTTTTACCAACTACGTCATTCATCGAATCCTGGAATCACCTGTTGTTTATTCCCGTTCTTTATATATATATGTATATATAAAGCGATGATGTCATAATAAGTAATTGCTGTACTTTATTGGTTTCTTAAAGCACTTGCACAATGGGTGTCGTTGAAACAAGAAAATTACCGTTAAAGAAAATCAATGATTAATGATCACATGTATGTGCATATATTTTTGCCATTATTGAAGAAGGAAAAAAAAATTTTTTTTTTTATTATTATATTAAATGTTAAAGCATAAATGTATGTTACAAGAAACATATGAAAGATGTCAATATTTATATAATAGATGTATAAAATAATCATAAAAGTAACTACGATGAGAAAATGAAAAATGATGAAGTATGTGTAATAGGAAGTGTGGTTGTAGTTTTTTTGAAACGTAAATTAGTATGAAAGACGTCATAGTTTGTAACAGACTACCTACATCACAGTACACAGTCCATATTGTGAGTTCAACGTGGAGACTATCAGCCACGTGATTATAATGTGACCCGATATGCAGTACGATTAAGAACCAGTTACAACGCAATAATCTTATTTACTTATAAAGTACAAGTTGATATCCCGTATTTTTGTTTTATTCAATTCCAAAAGGTTAGGGTTTAAGAAAACAATCTTGTTTCAATATGAAGTAAACAAAAACAAAGCTTAAAAGTACGTAGAAATTAGCGAATTATAGATTACCCCTCCTCCCTTCATCACCCACCGCGTAGTCTTTAATAAAATTAAAATAAATCTTTTCTTTTTTGTACATTTAGAAAATTCCCCTTTTGTTTTTTTTTATCGTTATTATATCGCAATTGAATCTATTTTTATCTTACAATCGGATAAAGTAGTAGATATGTTTTGTAATCTCATCCTTTAAATTCTTTTAAAATTGATAATTTATAATAATAAAATACTTAAAAGCTTATCTTTATAACGAATTATTTTTTTCATTTATCAATATTTTATATATTAATAAAATATGAGTTCAAGCAGGAAATATCGGCTTTAATGTGAGTAGAGTAACGTAATATGCTAAGTTGTTTAATTTAATGATGTAACTGCATATCTTGTTAATGCCTGTATTTAGTCTATAATGATGCAAATTTTAAAAATCAAATTTTACTTTGAATATTTTATTTATCATATTTTAGTTCGAATAATTGGAAAAAATATAATATGTATATATATGTGTGTGGTATTTGTTAAAAATATTTATATACATGTAAAATAATTCTAAATTATTGCACATGCTTAAGCCATCTCTATAAAATATTTTACGTATGTGTAATACGTTCGAAAGTAAGATAATAATAATAATACGATAGAATAAATAATGTTAACTAACTTTGAAACTCATCGTTTTAAAAAATTTCGATATAGAAAATTCAGTTTATATCGATGTGCAGTCGATAAAACAGACGTCAACGTATTAAACGACATTAACCTATTTCTCTGTTAAGTATAATGCCATATGGAAGAAACTATGATAGAAAATATATGAATTACGATATTATATTATTTTCTATAGTTTTGTAACTTTATATAACTTGTCTATAGTTTGTTATTAACTTAGAATTTTTTTATAGATCTTTGATATAAAAAAATAAAAATGATCAAAATAAAAACTTTGCCATTGCTTGATAGAACAAGCACAACTATTGTGGAAGAAGGTACAGTAAATTATATGATTAGAGTAATAAAAGAAACATAATTATTATTAACAATGTTCACATTAAATATATTATAAATATGTAATAAAACAATGTTTCATTTAGATGTCAATGTACCTTATGGTAAAGTTCTTATCGCAGGATGGTTGCAAATGTGGACAGAAGTAGAACCTAGTAATATTATAGAATTACTAACTTTTGTAAATCCAAAGTCTTGGTATTTAAATGGACCAAAACCATATACATTAAATAATGTTAAAATATCTGATTATTACACAGTTGAAGTAAATAAGTCTGAAGAAAATATTGTTAATATTTTAGACGAAATACTTGACAGAGTAACACAAAAGTCTATAATATTTCTTGATAATTTGGATTCTTTGATACTATACGCAGGTCTTGCAAATTCATTACGATTTGTAGAGATGCTAAATAAAAAAATAGAACGATTAATTTGTCTCTTTAGAAGAGATTGTATACCAAATAAGATATTATCTATTGAAACTCTTGGAAATATATATGTTAGATTGCATAAATACCATGGTATGCATTCAAATAATGAATTTACTTATATTGCAAATTATACATATCGCAAACCAGGAGGCACAATATTGCTTGGGTCAGAATTTGTAAGACAAGACATCAAAACATATGAGATACAATCAGAAAATTTTAAAACACAATTTAACTCTGAAAAAAATTCAATGCCTACAAATGGTGCTTCAAAAATTGTATCTTCGTTTCGATTAGAAATAAATGAACATGAAATGAAACAAAAAGAAAACACACCATTACCTTATATACCTGCAGCACAAATGGTAAAGAATGAGTGTAAGATTTTATATGTACCAGATGACGTAGATGATTTGGATGAGGAAGATCCAGATGATGATTTATGCATATAATTTGTATATTATGATTAGGTATATAATATACATCTATTCAAACATATGTTAACCATTGCATATTTATTACACTTTTCTGTACATTCATTTAGATATGATATAAGTGTTGCCTCATTATTAAATATGCCAAGCTTAATATAAAAAATTAGATCGAATACAATATAATCGAGCTTTTCCAAATTTCGATGTTAAAATTGATAAAAATTAAATTTTTTTACATTTCTTTTTTAGTTTGTTAATACCTTATAATCTACTTTATGATATATTATATCTCATCCTTTACGATATATATTTGAAATTTATATCTAACGTCTTATTTTTAACAGCATTAAACTATATATTAATTGAATATATAAAGCCACTTTCTCTTTGGAATTTACCTTCAAGATACACACTTTCATGTTTACTTAATTTAAACAATATCTACATATCACCTGTTTTACAAAATTTAGTAGTTACAAATAATATTAATTCTATTCCATTCGTTAATTTTCATGTACATGTACTTTGATTTCCAAGAGAGATCATACTGTTTTTAAATTTATGTATCATATATATGTCTATTTATTAAAACGTCAAAAGACTTTCTAAGATTACATGATATTAAAAAAATATATATTATATATT